GTGCTTCAAATGAATGTTGGAAATGCAAATATAAAGGTACTTTTTATCATTTGTGGTGGACATGTAATAAAGCAAAGAAATATTGGAGTAGGATTCATATTCTAATATAGAAGAATCTTAAAATGAATATAAAGATAAAACCAGAAACTTTTTGGGGGGGTTTAATGGAAAAAGACTTGGAAAAAAATTGGAACTTTGATGTTATATACGTTGATGGCTGCAAGATTACTTTATGCACAAAAAATGGAAGGACACTTTGATCCCCACAATGGACGAATGACTGCAAAAGTTGATGGAGTGATCAGAGATGCTTTGATAAAAGAAAAAAGAATATTACTACTATTGTTTCTACTTGGAAACTGCTTCTGGACTTTGTGCTTGAGGTGGAAAAAAATGAAACTTTGATTTTGGGGTTTACTGATTAGATATAGAAATGGCTAGTTTATACTATTGTATAAAAGTAAAAAGTTGAGGTTTGACGTTATTATCTTATTTTACTGCAAAGGGAGTTGGAAGTCAACCTCTTTTCTTTCTTTTTCCTTTTTCTACACTTTTCCTTCCCTCTTCCCTCCCGTTTTTCCTATTATTTATTTATGCATTTTATACTATAACCTAATAAAAAGATAACACACAAAACTCGATAGGGTTGACTGAGTTCAAACTTGGTCTAGACTCTAGTCTAGCCAAAACCTTAGCTGTCATAATGTACTACACTACATTATGCTGGATTCTCCTTCATCAATATTTACCACTCTTTTTCTCATGCATGTATGCAAAATTCACCAGTATAGTATGTATATAAGAAAGTATTGGTTCCTGCTTTTCTTCAACTTATGAAGGCTGTTAGTCACTAAGTGCTTATTTACATATTCCCAATGGTATTCTCGTTTTCTATTAACATCAAGGAAAGAGGGCAAGAAAAAATAAAGAAATGAAGGTTTATTATCTACATTACTTTTTTCTGTGCATCAATACTCATGCTGACATAACAATTTTAAAAACCTAAGAAGGGCTTTTCAACCTTTTCACCCATTGTACCACTTTTAGGATATGGCAATATCCGAGTACCACCAGTCACCTAGCAAGGTGTCAAAAACTTGATGACCAAAAAAAAAAAAGGAAAAAAGTGATAAAGTACAGGTAGTCCTCGACTTACAACAGCTTAGTGACTGTTCAAAGTTACAATGGCACTGAAAAAAGTGCCCCCCCCCAAGCCACAGCCAAGCAAGACACCTGCCTGCCTGCTGAGCGGTGCTCTTCCTCCTGTCCAAGGTTTTCATTGTTGTGAGCATTTCTATTGAGGTTTGGCAGTGGGGGTGGGGTGGGGGGTGTTTGGTTTTTATTCCTCCCATCTGCTGGGTGGTTGTAGCAGGTTTTGGTCACTTCACATGACCCTGGGACACTGTGACCGTCATAAATATTAATCAGTTGCCAAGCATCTGAATATAAATCACAAGACCCTGGAGATGCTGCAACATTCCAGCTGATTTGCGCTTCTTCTGGGCTCAGCAGAAGCGCCAGGATCAGTGCCGAGCTCCAGCTGCAGCCTGGTGCTGATCATGGCACTTCCACTGACCCCAGACAGCCCTGCAGTTCCAGCCATCTCTCACTCAGGCTTGTGCGGTGCTGCCACTGGTTCAGCTCATTCCCCTCCCCCGCTACCACTTTTCTAGGATGGTTGTGTACCACCTGCCAGGTGCCAATGTACCACAGGTGGTACCCGTACCACTGGTTGAAAAGCCCTGACCTAAGACAGCTTATTTGGTAATAATTGCTAACACTGATTATGTGAGAGCCAGTAGGAGAGTCTCCCAATTTTTTCCCTTTTTCAAATAATCTTTATATTTTTTTGTGCAATAGATTGCTGAAAAATCAGACAATTCAAAGGATAGTTTTGACTTATTTTGTTTGAGAAAGACACTTAACTCTGCTTTGAATTCGTAATGTTGCAGTTAACTTGCAGATCTATCTAAGTCCTAACCAATTGGCACTTCTCGTATTCCAAGCAACTACAGTAGAAGATAACACAGATTCACGTATGTCCAACAGAAGGTTCCTGTAAACACCTTACAGAAATTAAACTGTGGTAGACCTGGTCAATTCCAGAATTAGAATCTCTCTGGGAACAGTATCTTGAGTTCTGTAATCAAAGTAAGTTAAAATATAAATGCACAAAATACAATAAAGATCGATGTGCTAAAGAATTGCTTAAAGTGAATAAAAGTAAGTGCATTGCCAAAATTGGAAGCGATGGAGGAAGTACATGGACTAAGCCTATAACTCCTTTAGCAACATCACGTATACTTACTGTCCTCATAAAAAATAAACTTTCCTTTTAGGACTCAACACCTGGTGACTTCACAGATACATTCATGCAGGTTTCTTGTTGACAATGTAAACATAGTTTGACAGTGACTCATGGCATATTTTGCAGTTCCCAGGCAAGGTTGGAAGTCTCTTGTCCAAGTCCTAACCAAGCCTTAGTTAATTGAGTTTGAGCCCAGAAAGCCACAAATCTTAAACAATAAGCTTTCTCACTTGAATCAGAAGTGAAGGTTAGTAGCAACTGTTTGATCAATAACTAAATCTAAGTTTATTCCTAGAAGTTTTCATTGTTATGGGGAGTGTTGCACTGAGCGGGAACAAGTTTCTTAGCTCTTTGTTTCTCTGATGAATGTAGAAAGCAGCATTCCCCATATCCTATCCTTTTCCAAAGTTTTAAATGTGCTTTGCATTCTCCAGAATAGCCTCCCCCAATCTGTTTTCTGTTACAGACATTGGATTATGGAGGCTCTAGGTCTGTAACTAGAGGCACCAAATTGGAGAAGAGTAATTTACAGCATGCAGAAGTTAACAGTTGATGTTGCTTTTTCAGTATTGAAAGCCAGTGGCCTTTTATTAGATTGCACAACTCCCACAAATATTGCATCAGTCATGTCATATACAGGATATACTGTATATCCTGTTCTGGTTTTCTTGAGACAGTACTAAATGGAGCTTGCTTACTTCAGCTCTACTTCGAAGTTGGTTTTATGCTCGAATCTCAACACCCATCCCCACCCCAAGAACCTATCTCCAAGTTATATTAATGGATTTTTCATGATTTCTAACTGCTGTGTGTTTTTGTTTTGCATTAGGCAAATTTGGTCAATTCATTATAAGCTGCCCAGTTATGAGAAATAGGTAGCTACATAAAATAAAGTGGATCTGAAATGAAGTCATGCTGCACAATTATTATTGCTTGGGTATTTTAAACTTAATTTTAAAAGTTTCTCTCAACATAAGAAAATGTCATGATAGCAGCTCCAGATGCATGTTGCCAATCTATAGCTATACTAAATAGCCGTTTGTTCTGTGTTTTAAATATGCTGGAGGAAAGTTTGTACTATAGCCATATTAGGCGAAGAAAAATAATTCAGTCAACATTGCGATGCTTTTAAACAAATACTCTGTCAGTTATTGGTTGATCACCACATCCCAAAACAAAGACCGCAGCTTTTATTTTCGTTTATTTAAAAAGTTGGGAATATGTGACTAATTTAACACTCCTAGGTTCGGAGCACCATTACACGCACGTCTGTACATTCTTGCCTTATCGCAAGTAATTTGGTTAACTCGCAACTCCTTCGGCTACGCCTTTCGCAGAAGAAGGTCAAGTTTGCGAAACACCACGCGCCTCCCCCAAACCCAACCCGAGGAACAACACAAGTTGCGAGAAAAGCAAAACGTGCTCCGCGGTGAACATAACTCTGCGCCTGCGCCAAATACATCAGGCGAGGTGGTGGCGTGGAGGAAGGAGCCGTCACCGACCCCGCCTCCTCTCGCGGTTTTTGGCGCGGGGGAAGGTAGATCCGGGCCTGTTTGTTGCCGGCCGGCGACAGTGGTTGGTTGGTTCCTTTGCCGAGGGGAGTATGGCTCAGCGGGGCTCAACGCAGGCAGCTTTGGGGCAGACGATGGAGGCGGAGAGGCTACAGGAGGCAGAGGCTGCCTCGGAACGACATCAGCAGTTGATTGCAGGTAAGAAGCAGACGCGGAAGGAGTACAAAGGAAGAATGTGGGGTATTTCTGGAATGAAGCAGGCTTTGTTGGACCTGCTGGGCTGCCTTATCCGGCTGTGATAGATTTGCATTGTACGATGAAGAGGAGAGAAAGGTGACTTACAGGACAACAGGTCTTCCCAGGCAGCAATCCACAGGGCTTCAAGGAGAATGGCGAGGCTTTACGTTTGTCCTGGTTTGTTTTATTTGGGGGGGGGGCGCTGCATCACGGTGACAAGGTCATACTGGATACCTGCATTTCACACGTTTTCAAGTTGACCTCGGCAGTTGAAAACATGTTCTGGCTCTGAGCCCTATCAGGAACCGTAACTATCCTTGTCAGATTATACAGACTTGGAATCATGATGTGGCGTGAGGAAAGTTTTCCATGATTTAATCCAGGTTCCCTCATCATAAATTCTATCGGTGATGTTGGGCAATTAACTCGAGTAATTGCAGTAACAGTTGACTAAATCTAATGGAATGAACAACCTACACAGACTTTGTAAACATAATCATGGCTTTATTTGTGGAATTTATTAATCTGTGGTTTATTGCACTGCAACATGCTAATTTTGTTCTACTGAAATTAAGTTAATTGCTGCATACCTAATTATAAACTGCCCTAGTCAATCATATTTAGTATGTTGAGTTACACAAATACAAAGTGTATTAGATGAATGAAGGTTTCCTACCAATTGTTATAGACTAGAGTCTCTAGAATGTGAGATGCCTAAGCAAAGTAGTTAAGGAGCAAAGGAGAGCATTCTTCACTTTTTAACTATCAGCTATATTTTACCATTCAAATGAAACATGTCATAATGTAGTTGCACTTGCATATGGAGAACATAAGATTTGCCAATTTCAGTCAGTTCTTCTGTGTAACTTGCTTTGAAGTAATGATAACCATATGGTATCAGAAGTGCTCAGGCTTGAATTTCCATACTATGTAAAATCATAACATTGTTTATTTTGCTTAGTGTGTTCTACGAATCCAGCCATTTAGTCTTATCTAATCATGCTGAACATGTTGTATCAGCCTTACTGTTGCCTCTGACACCATCAACAATTATTGAAACTTTTAAAAAGATCAACTTTTGAAATCTAAAGTCTTGCTATGCGTAAATATGGCCATATAGTACACTTGCATCGGAAAAAGATGTCCAGGTATGATGTATGTTCAGTATTTTTTGACTCCTTTCTCAGTGACCCTGGTATTTATATGTCTTTATAGTTTGTAATTTAAAAAACATGTATAAACTTTGCTAGAGATAATTTATTCTGCCTTTCTTAGGCATACAGGGGGAGAAGCAGTACCGTATTTTTAAAATTTTCTAAAGGTAGAAATAGGAATACACTTTCTTCATTTATTGACTATAGCCCTGTTTTATTAATGTATAAGCAATTCATTCTGTCTAGTGTTAAAGCATATGGATATGTTATCTACCAGTGTTTTTTATTTATTAAATTCAAATAGTTGCCCATTTCACTATCATGTCTCTGAGCAGCTTACAAAGATAAAATACAGAAAACAATACAAATCAAAAATAGCCACAAAGCCATTACAGATAAAAGTATTAAAAACATAATCAGTGAGAAAGTACCACTGATTTTCCTAAAAGTCTAACCACTTAGCAGGCTCTCCACCAGATTCTCAGACCAGATGACAAAGCCATGATTTCAGGTGAAGCCATGTGATCATTTATGCTTTTTGTGTGCCAATACACTGCATATACCTCCTAGTTGGGGATATACAGAGAGTAATATGAATTGAATTGAATACTTTATTTGGTGAAATGTGATTTGTCTGTGTAACAGAAGTACTCAGTGTACTTGCAAATCAACAGAGAGAATAATACCAATAAAAGGGGGGAGTAAAGAAGATAATAAAAAGGATAAATAATACTATGGCCACACTGTATGAGTTAATATATACTGTATATACATGTGGGAGAGAACTGCAAGAATTAAGTATTCAGTAGAGGGGAAAAAACATCCTTGTGTCTGGTTAGATCGCAAAGTAGGCCGTAGATGAGATACCCTGGTTTTCAATATGAGTTTGCTAGGGGTAAAACTTGGGCTTTTCCTGTGCTTGGGGCGGACTGGCAATATGTCCTCAAGCTGATCAGTTATGCCCTTAGGAATGTTGAAAATGGCTTAGCTGTAATTAAAACTAGTAACTTCTTCTAATCTAGGCTTTATATAAGAGCATGTTTCTGCCCACACTGGGATGTCAGAAAAACATAATAGCAAGTTGAATGCAATGAGAATGGATTATTTAAGAAGTGTAGATGACGAAACAAAAAAAGATATATAGCGGTGCTTAACAGTTTGTGAACATTTTTGAATTTTCAATATTTCTACATAAATATGACCTAAAATATGATTCATTTTTCTTCAATAAATACATGAACCAGTATAATTTTGAACTAATTTGGTCGATTAGGTTGTTCCTATTTAGTTTTAGGACTTAGATGGAGATCAAATCATGTTTTAGGTCATATTTATGCAGAACTATTGGAAGTTCAAAAACGTTCACAAACTTTTAAGTATTATATGCCAAAAATGAATGCATGACAACTGAATACAAAAATGAGTGAAGAGTAAAGGAACAAGTACATTGCGATTTGGTCATGTGGGGGAGAATGATTGAGGACCAAATTACAGAACTGATTTAAGAAAAGTGAATAGATCAAAATGACGGAAAAGATTTAAAAAGTCATACCTGAATGGAGAACAGAGATCCTGAAAAAGAGAGATGTATTGATATGGTAGAAGATGTGATGGTTTGCAAATACAGGTAGTCCTTGATTTATAACCAGTAGCTTCGCGTCTGTTCAAAGGAAATCTCCCTCCAAGGTACTTTTGACCTGGTTCCATCAGACATCCCTCCCACTCATGATTATGTGACTGCATTTCAGGCAGTCGGCAACTGGCCTGCATGCATGACTGCTTGTAGCATCCTATAGTCACATGACCATGATTTACAACTGGTTTTTGGCAAAAAATGTCATAGTGAACAATAGGCTTCCTTTGTGATCATGGATTCATTTAATCACCATGGCGACTCAATAACTGCAAAAAAGTAGTAAAAACGGGTCAGTCACACAATGATCTGCTTTACGATTGTCACAACCTATGACTGTAATAGGCAGTCTTCATTGTGGTCATAAGTCAAGGACTACCTGTATAAATATGAAGAGATACTATGTAGTGATTGATTTTTATTAGGCCTCTTGTAGGGATGACTCAAGTCTCTTTTTAACAGATTGTTTTCTTTTGTAGCTACCCAGTTTATTATTCTGTCACCTCTACATTTTTCTGTTTTTTTTTATTGTCAGGTTTTCATGATTTGTTAACTGCCCAGAATTGCTGGAAGTTGGGCAGAACATAACTTTAATAATAATATATTTGCAAAAGGCAGCTTTACTTGGAACAGCTTGTGTCCTGCAATGATACCTTTAATATTATTAAACAACAACTTCTTATCCCAGGTCCTTGGAAAGGATTTGATAATTGGACAAATATACCAAATCCAGTCTAAATATCTGGCTAACTGTGCAACCAACCATAATAATAATGTTAGTGTAAACAATTTATTTTACAGGTTTATATACCACTTCAGTTTTGAATGAAGTGGCTTGCAATCTTTAGTACTACACAGATCTGGTTACATTTCTTTTTTCTTATTTTCTATTTTTAAATTCTTCTGTTTATTATTCTCTCTTTTCTGCATTGCATCCAATTTTTATCATAATATGGAATAGTGTTGAGTACCTATGTATGTATATGTGAAGAAATGATATATTTTATTTTTGTATGTTTTATAATGGTTATAATCTGCAACTCAATGAAATGATACTAGAGGACAAAAACTGGATATTGTTGCTATGTATTAAAACTCAAAAATTTAAAAACTGAATGGATAAATTGTTTTGGATAGTCTTTTGTTAGTTGGAGGGAAATTATAACTGATAGTTGAAAGATCTGAGAGCTGGACAGAGAACCTTCTAAAGCAGGGGTGTCAAACCGCCAGCCTGCGAGCTGGACGCATCATCCCAAAAACGCGCCCACCCCATTGCCGGCAATGGAGAAAAAGCTCTGATATGTTGCGAGTTTGACATGCCTGTTCTAAAGTGACCAAAGATGGTGCTGATGAGATCTGTGAAGTAATAATAAGCTTTAAGGAGGAAATAGAGGATTCAAAGAAAGGCTTCACTAGAAGGAACTCCAGCAATTGTCAAGGGAACAACTATTTCATCAAGGAAGCCAAAAGTAACAAGAGGAGCCTGAGGCTGAGACAGAGTGTTTAGCAGCCTATGTTTGTTATGTAAGGATAATTGGAATTAAACTTTATAAATCATTAACATACCAACATCTGGAATAGTATATTACGATCTATGGCACTTAGCATTTTAAAACTTGTGCTATAAAGTACATATAATATCAATATTACAGATATTTGGGCAAGGAAGAAATGTAATAAAACATTTAACTTTTCAAAATACAGAATTTGCACAGCAGTTTTAAACTCAAGTTTTGTCTTAATATTGATGGTATTGGAATAGTACAGTAAGTGAAGTGTTTATTTTATGTGATTGCTGTCATATATGTTAAATCATTATAGAGAAAGGAAGTGCTAACATAAGATGCTTGGTTTTCTTAATTATGAAGGTTTTTAAAGCATTACTAAACACAACTGGCTGGGTTGACATATTATACTAAAAAATAAACCATGAATTACCCACCCGTACTGGCTGGCTTCATACAGCATACACATTTGGATTTGGTCTTGTGTAAAACCAGACACTAACTTTTATAATTCAATTCAGTTCAATCTATTTTTGTTTCAACTGAGAGTCAACAATATAGGAATTAACAAAAAATGTAGAAGTCAAGTAAAATGATAACCAATCTTAATTAAAATGCTTTGTGTGCATGTGTGCCTTTGAGACAGTGTTGACTGATTCATGCTGACTGTCTAGATTAGTCTCTCCAATTTTCTTGACAACATTTTTGGAAGTGAAGACAATATTGCCTTCTTCCTAGGGTGAGAGAGGATGAGAATCAAAGGTAACCCAATTGGCTTTATGATTAAGGCAGTACTACAGTAGAAGTCAGTCTCCTAATTTCTAGTCTGATGCTTAATCATTACACCAAACTTGTCCTCTAAAATACATTATTATATTAGCCATTTTGTATCCACTGCAGGATGAAGGCCTCTTCCACATTTCCACCCCAAAAATACATTAAAATATATAGACATAAGTAAAACCTCCAGAGCATTATAGAATAGGGATTATAAAGAAAATAAAAGAACTTTTAAGAAAATCATTTTCTAGCAGCCTCTCAAGCAAAACTTGCCAGCTTCCTTAACTAACTTTCCTTGTTTAAATTAATCAAATATTCAATTTTATTTGAATCAGGACAGGTAATTTTTCCTTTAAGAGCTGCTTCAAAAATGTTCTATGGGCAGTAGTGGGAATAGGGCAATAAATAATATGGAAATAATTATTTGGTTTTATTATAGTATGGCCAGAAACATATGGTATTTCAGGGAATTGGCCCTTCTTGGTAACTGAATTCATTTATTGAAATTGTAATCTGGTAAGTGCCTCTGTAAGGGAGAGCTGTGTTACATATCTAATACATTATTTTGATTAATGATCGATATTTTTTTTGAGTCTGATAATAAGAGCACCAACTACTTGAGTCCATAAAAAGAGTGCCAGATATCAGTAATAAGGAATTTGTTTTATTTTATGCTCTCCAACTTTTGTTCCCCAGATTCCAAAATCTTTTGTCTTTTCAGCATTAGAATTAAGGATTTTATAGAACAATAACTGCCCACTGCCTATAATACATAATTGCTGACTTATGACCACAAAAGGGAGTAGACTCTCGCTCATTGAGCGAAGCAGTTGTTAACTGGGATTGTTAAGTGAGATGTCATATGATTGCTTTGCTCAACTATTGCAGTCCTGGCACTCTTGGTTGCAGTTTTTAAGTGGTCTCATGGGCCGTTAAGTGGACAGAGTTCCAGGTAAGCAGCACAGGGTGCCTCACTTGGGTGGAGGAGACTGTGGAAAGCCTGGCACACATTGTATGCAAGTTTCTCTTCGCTTAGGAGTTGAAAATTCTCCCTCCCAAAATCTAATCAGGATTTTCAGCCTCTGAGCAAAGAGACACTTACATGTGGGCCTTGTAGCGGGCCCCCCCCCCGCATCCTGTGCTCCTTACCTTACCTCACTGCCTCTCCACTCAGAGTCTAAAAAGCTTCCCTGCCAAAATCAAGCAGGATGTGCAGCCCTTGAGCAGAAAGACCTCCTAAGCAGCCTACATCAAGTCTTCAAAGGGTCCCCCCCTCCGTGAGGCACCTGGACTCCTTATTGTGCTCCCTCTTCACTTGGGGGGGGGGAAATTCAGCTTGGATTTCAGCTCCCTTTTGTCTCTTTACATTGCATACATAATTTTAAATCCATTAAATTACATTTAATAAAACTTGATGTTGCATTTTGTCTCCTCGGTTTGATTTCATATATATTTCCAAATGTAACTTGGATTAATCCCAGAGGAATCTGTGTATATTCTCAGTGTCCCTTCTCACTGCAATTCCTCAAGTAAGTTTATGGTCTAGAAAGGCATCAGGCTAGAAAGCGGGAAACCATGAGTTCAAGTCCAACCTTATCCATGAAAGCCAGCTGGGTGACTTTGGGTGAGGTGGGTTGGGCTGACACTCTCTTAGCCCAACCCACCTTACAGGGTTGTGAGGAAAATAAGAGGAGGAATTGGTGTTGGACATCTTCATCGCCTTAAGTTATTTGCAAAAATAATAAAGGCAGGATACAAATAAATAACATAAAATAAAATAAAAAAATTAAATTAATTCACTTTCATTGCATTTCAGGAAAAGCACATAAAGAAGGTGGATCTGCACGAATGTCACTCCTCATCTTAGTGTCCATCTTCTTAACAGCTGCTTGTGTTATGTTGATGGTATATAAAAACTTTCCCCAACTTAGTGAGTAAGTATACCACAAAGAATTCATTCCATTTCTAACATCTGTAATTATACATACTTAGAGAAGTTATATAAGGTCTTGTGAGGTATTAAAAGGTTCCAAGTATCCCCTAGAAAAGTATAATGTATAATTTCAAAAAATCCCAACAAATTACATCGAGTTTTCTCTTGTTAGGAAATTATTAAACTCTAATTATTTATAGATAATACTTTTTTTCAAATGGTAAAACATGTATGTTAACTATAAAAATTATTTGAGATAGGTTTATATTGATTACCTGCACCCTTGCTAATTCAGATTTAAAAAGTTGTCCAGTTTGTAAGTAAAATGGATGAAAGTTCAAATAGCACAAAGATAATCTGATTAAGAAACTATCCTTGGATTGAACACACAATTTTCATGCAGTCTCCAATCTTCCCTTTTTGGAGAAGGTTGCTGAGAAGGTGATTGGCATTCGGCTTCAGAGGTCCCTCGGTAAAGTGAATTATCTGAACCCTTTTCAGTTGGGGTCCAAGCTGTGGTACAGCACTGAGATGGAATTGGTTGTGCTGGCAGATGACTTTTGAAGGGCCCAGGAACAGGAGTGGTGTAAAATTCTGGCTCTCCTAAATCTCTCAGTGGCTTTCAAATCTGTACTGGCTATGGGCATTGGGAGTAGAAGGCACTGCGTTGCAATTGTGCTTCTCCTTTCTCCATAGCCAGTTCCGGTGGGTGTTGGTGGGGAGGGAGGGGTTGAACCCTATGCCCCTGTAATGCGGGGTGCCTGAGAACTTGAGTCTCTTGCATCTTCCATTTAATATCTACATGAAACTATTGGGCAAGGTCATTTGATAGCACAGGGTGCAGTATTATCATTATTCTGATGTACACAGTTACACTTCTCTACCCTGAGCTATGCAGATTATACTGTTGCTCTGCTGACTAAACATCTGGAGGTTTGAGGGTCTGGATAGAGAGGAATAGTTTTGACTCGATCCTGTCAAGACTGAGTGGCTTTGGATTTTGAGCTCCAGGGTGTGTTGATATGTCAGCTTTGACTCTTGGGCAGGGTTGCTCTTCCCCAGACTGAATGTGTGTAATTTGAGGGTCCTCCTGGGCTCATGGCCCTTACTCAATTGATAGGATGACCTTTGCACAGATTTGCCTTGTGGGCCAATTGCACCGTTTCCTGGACTGGGAAGATCCTGCTCATAATGATGCCTTGGTCACATCTGGATGCCTGCAAAGTCTTGTACATGCCTTTGAAGATCCTCCAGAAGCTATAACTGGTCCAGAATGCAGTAGCATGACCAGTGTTGGATGCTCCTAGGTTTGTCCATGTGACATCCCTGTTGAATGAGCTGCCCTGGCTCGCAGTTTCCTTCTGGTTGCAATTCAAAGTACTGATTATTATCTTTAAAGCCCCATATGGCATGGGACCAGGTTCTCTCGGAGAGTATTTGCTAATTCCATCAAGTCTACTAGGATAGGCATAAATCTTCAATTCTTTGTCTGCTATACAATGATGAAAATAATTAAATTTGAGAGGTTTATTTTTGGTGAAATCTGTTCTGGAACCTTGTTTAGAATGATTATTTTGAAATTGACTAATAATTGCCAGAAAATTAAGTTGGAATACTTTGTTCATCTAAAACAATCTAATGATTTCTGAAGTAAACATTGCAGTGACTATACAAGAAGACTAGCAAGATTTGATGTTGGATTGTTGAATTGGTTACATGAATTGAGTGATGCAAAATTGGTACAATGGGATCAAAGCTTTCATTAAAAACTGGGAATTATAATATCATGGTAGTTTATATGTAATGCACTTTTTGCTGACTGGAGGCAAGAGTTCACTATATCTATTAATAACATTGTCTGTTTTTCCCTTGCAGAGAGGAGAGAGAATGTATAAAAGTTCCTAGAGATATGGATGATGCTAAAGCTTTAGGAAAAGTACTCTCTAAGTACAAGGATACGTTCTATGTTCAAGTATTAGTGGCCTATTTTGCTACCTATGTCTTGTATCCTTTCTAAATATATATATATATATATATATATATATATATATATATATATATATATATATACACAAGTTGCTATGGAATGTGATATGATATACTAATAATCCTTGTAATGCTATGGTTTCACCTCTAAGATGAAAGTGAAATAGATGCATAGAGATAAACCATATTAACATATCAGACAAAAATAATGACCATAAAAAAACCTAGGAAATAAACAAAAAAAACAGAATCCCCTTCAGCAGCCAACATTCAGATAAGCAGGATCAACATCAAGCAAAAAACAATATTCTAAGGAGGAAACCATATCTCCATCAAAACACCAAGGCAGCAAACCCCTCATTCAGTCAAACCAATGATGTTACCTGGTTGGGTAATGAAATATCTGCCAGCTCAGTGAACATCAAGAATTCCACATTGACTTTAATGGATGAAAGAAATGCCTTAAGCCTTACAGGCACTAATGATATGTATTTGTCCTTTATAGGTTGTCCTCGACTTATGACCTCAATGGAACCCAGAATTGTGGTCATAAATTGAGACACCACCTGATCCAGTTAAATTTTATGACCTTTTTTACGATGATCATAAAGCAAATGTGGTTGTAAATCAAATCATGTGGTTATTAAGTGAACAGGTATATTATGAGTTAATAAGAAATGCAATTTTTTGACAGATGAATCTTTATTTTAAAAAATGTATATGAATTCGACTGCAATCTCTACTTGGATTTTAGATTGTGATTCAGACTGTTCGTTACATCTGTCATACAGAATATTAAATGGAAATTTATTACTGCTTATTCAGAAAATACTTTTTTTCAATCTTTGTCTTGCATTTTAATTTTTTAGAGTTGAAAACGTCTACCTTTCAGTAATGTGATAATAATGATGATAATGATAATAATAATTAATAACAACAACAATAATAATAAAGTTGGAAGGGACCTTGGAGGTCATCTAGTCCAACCCCCTGCTCAGGCAGGAAACCCTATACCATTTCGGACAAATGGCTGTCCAGTCTCTTCTTAAAAACTTCCAGTGTTGGAGCATTCACCGCTTCTGGAGGCAGGTGGTTCCACTGGTTAATTGTTCTAACTGTCAGGAAATTTCTCCTTAGTTCTAGGTTGCTTCTCTCCTTGATTAATTTCTATCCGTTACTTCTTGTCCTGCTTTCAGGCGCTTTGGAGAATAGCTTGACTCCCTCTTCTATGTGGCTACCCCTGTGATATTGGAGCACTTCTATCATGTCACCCCACATCCTTCTCTTCATTAAACTAGACATACACAATTCCAGCAACCGTTCCTTATATGCTTTAGCCTTCAGTCCCCTAATCATTTTTCTTGCTCTTCTCTGTACTCTTTCTAGAGTCTCAACATCTTTTTACATCGTGGTGACCAAAACTGGATGCAATATTCCAAGTGTGGCCTTACCAAGGCATTGTAAAGTGGTATTAATACTTCACATGATCTTGATTCTATCCCTCTGTTAATGCAACCTAGCACTGTGTTGGCTTTTTTGGCAGCTGCAGCACACTCCTATTTAAGTGATTGTCCACTAGGACTCCAAGATCCCTCTCACAGTTACTACTAGTGAGCAAGGTACCACCTATACCAGTGATGGCAAACCCTTTAGAGACCGAATGCCCAAAAACTGGACCCGCCCCACCCCCTGCCCCACCCTACCTGCCCGCAGGGCCACTCACCGCCTCTAGGGCCCGCTGCAGATCGCCCAGGCAGCCCAGCAGCGCCAATGGCGGCCACGCCTTCTATCCGCGCCCCATAGCATCAACTGTGCTTGATGGGGTGTGAGGCAGAGTCTTATCCACACTGCCTGGCTGCCATGTCCTTGGCTGCTCTGCTCCGCATGGGCCACGCTCGATGGCAATTCTCCTCCAGGGGGGCTGTTGGTGAGGGGGTCACGGGGGGAGGCGAGACTGGGGCAACAGCACAAGTGCCCACAGAGAGGGCTCCGAGTGCCGCTTCTGGCATACCTGCCATAGGTTCACCACCACTGACCTATACTATACCTATACATTTGGTTTTTCTTGCCTAAATGTAGAACCTTACTTTTTTCACCATTGAATTTCATTTTGTTAGATAGCGCCCAGTGTTCAAGTCTGTCCAGATCCTCCTGTATCTTAAGCTTGTCTTCTGGAGTGTTGGCTATTCCTGCCAGCTTGGTGTCATCTGCAAATTTGATGAGTTCCCCATCTATCCCCTCGTCCAAATCATTGATGAAGATGTTGAAAAGCACAGGGGCTAGAACAGAGCCCTGGGGGACCCCACTACACACTCCCCTCCGTGTAGATGCAGTTCCATTGAGGACCACATGCTGAGTACGGCTGGTCAGCCAGCTACAGATCCATCTGGTGATGATGCTGTCTAACCCACATTTTTCTATCTTATCAAGTAGTAGGTTGTGATCTACTTTATCAAGTGCCTTACTGAAGTCCAAGTAAATTATATCCACAGCATTCCTCTGATCCATTAATTTTGTCACTTGGTCAAAGAATGCAGTAATATTTGTCAGTCCTGATCTGTTTTTGACAAACCCATGTTGGCTATTAGTAATGACTTTGTTTGCCTCTCTGTGTTTGCTAATTCGTTGTTTGATTATCTTTTCCAAAATCTTCCCAGGTATTGAGGTCAGGCTGATAGGTCTGTAATTTCCTGGATCCATTTTTTTCCTTTGTTTGAAGATGGGAAGTACATTAGCTCTTTTCCAGTCCTCTGGTAGTTCCCCAGTGCTTCAGGATCTTTGAAAAATATAGTTCAGTGGTTCTGACATCACATCTGCCAGTTCCTTGAGAACCTTGGGGTGTAATCCATCTGGTCCTGGTGATTTGAACTCATCTAGGCTGGACAGGTGCTCACTTACCATTTTCTTGCCTATCTTAACTTGTACTTCTATTCTGTTTTTTTATGGCACTATTTTTGATAGGTTGGGCTGTTTTTTTTCCCTTTGTGTAAAGACAGATGCAAAAAACGAGTTAAATAGTTCTGCTTTCTCCCTGTTGCTTGTCACCTTGCCACTTTTCCCCACTAATGGCCCAATCATTTCCTTAACTTTTTTTCTTGTTTTTTACATGTTGAAAGAAGCTTCTTTTGTTATTTTTTGACTTTGGTCGCAAACCTTAGTTCATTTTGAGCCTTAGCTTTCCTCACTTCGTCTTTGCAGGCTTGGACTATTTGCTGATATTTTGCTTTAGTTATGTGCCCCTCTTTCCACTTTTTATACGTGTCCTTTTTATCTTTCAATTTATCAGAGAGTTCTTTATGCAGCCATGCCGGTTTCTTTTGAGAGCTGTTATTTTTCTTCTTCGTTGGCATTGTGCTAGACTGGGCTTTTATTATCTCACTTTTCAAAATTTCCCAAGCTTCTTGAGTTGTTTTCCCCTTGAGGATTTTCATCCATGGATCCTTTCCAAGCTCTCTCTAAGTTTATTGAAATTAGCTCTCTTAAAGTCCAAGACTCTAGTTTGACTGTGTTCTATTGCTTGTGCTTCCATAATGTTGAAATCCAATATTGCATGATCACTTCCTCCAAGGTTCCTGTGGCTTCAACACCTTCTATCATTTTATCTCTATTAGTGAGAATTAGATCCAATATGGCTAAACCCCTAGTTCCCTTCTCTACTTTTTGGGAGATAAAAGTTGTCTGCTAGGTTTGTCAGGAATCTGTTTGCTCTTCCACTTGGTGCAGAGTTTGTCTCCCAGTTGATGTCAGGGTAATTAAAGTTTCTCATTACTATTGTAATGTGCTTCCTACATACCTTAGTTAGCTGACTAGCAAAAAGTTCATCTATTTCCTCTGTTTGGTTGGGTGGCCTGTAATATACACCTATGGCAATGTCATTTCTCCCCGCCCCTTTTATATTGACCCAAATGCATTCAAGACAGTTTTCATCATTGTTGTGCTCTATTTCTGTAGAGATGTAGTTATTTCTTATATAGAGAGCAACTCCACCTCCTCTTTTATTTGGTCTGTTTCTTTTAAATAATTTAAATCCCTCTAGCTGTGTGTTCCATTTGTGGGTTTCAGCCCATCATGTTTCCGTAATGGCAACAATATCATATCTGCCCTTATTAACCTGAATTTCTAGTTCACCCTGTTTACTGTTCATACTCTGTGCATTGGTGTATAGACATTTGAGTCCTTTATGACAGACTCTGTATTTACTTTCTACATAACCTGTGTGGTGCCTAAGTTCCCCTATTTTCTTACCACCTGTTTGGTTTGTGTGGCACTCGCTATTAAAAGGTTGATTTGACAGCAAAGTTGATATTCTTGTCTACACACACATCTGTGTTACATTCACTGATAGCTCTATAATTTTTAGATTGCTAGGGACAGGGATGTTCTGTATCAATTAACTCACTGTCCCCCTTGTTTAGTTTAAATATCTATAGGATTATCTGTAGGATTACACTATAAAGCTTTACAGAAGGACTGATTTGTTCATTAATTTATTGAAATTTGTTCTTAACTAGATTCACCATCTAGCCTGCAAACATTTGCTATTCCTGGATCTATATTTTTGAGTATACTTTCAGGATTTCTTTATCCTTTTCCATTAGCTCTATTTCTTGTTTGTCTGGTAAGTATTTATTGCAAAGGTAGTATGTGCTTTCTTTTTTAAAAAATACATAAGCTATTGTGAAAAGCTGAATATGTGAACAGTGCAAAATATCAAGTCTATTCTTATCTAATGAATGGCATGGGAATATATTTGTCCTTTTTGTACTTTTTAAATGCTTTCTAGGGAATTCAAATCTATTTAAAGTAACAGAAATGCAATTCAAAATATTAACTCAGTAATAACATAGAAATAGCTATTGCAAATAATATTGAACACAATCAACATTTGGATCTTTTAAAATATCTCTTAAAAACTTTGAGAAGTCATTTTCCATACCATTTATTCAGGAAGGCTTCAAAAATATATAGTTATTGGTGAAAATGCCTGATTAATCACATCATTGTCCAAAACTGCCACAAATATGATATGAATAATAAGAGCTGCTAGGGTTTATGACATGAATATACTAACAAATACAGGGCTTTGTCTCTGACTCCTAAAGTTTAACAGAGGCTTGTAAATGAACAAAGAATATAGCTGCCACAAAATTGGTAAATATATTGTACCGTATGCTCTTTTCTTAAACTGTTGGAAAACATACAGCAGTATAATGATTGCATTAATTGAGCCTGAATGTTACAGAAATATAAATCGTGATAGTGTAGCAAGTTCTGTCAAAGAATTTTAGATCAAACTTTGAATTGAGTAGAAATTCACATCTCTCAACATTATACATTTACTATAGTATAAAGCACCCTTAGCTAAAAAGACTTCCTAATAAAAATATCATCTCTGGTTACTGATAGTGTGATAAGATAAGGGTTAGGTTATTATAATGTATTTCTTGCAAAGCTACTTAAAAAAATTAAATGTTTTAGCTAGACTAGAAACTTATTTATTTATTTTTACTTTTAAAACTGCCTAGCCCAGCAATACATTTATTTCTGGGCACAGCTCAGATAATTGAAGTCCACATTATTTGAGAATTACTCCCTCATTGAAACTTGTTCACTGAATTTTTCTAGACTTTTACAAGTTTCACCATCACATTTAGAATTAAGATAAGTAGCTGTTAGGAATTCTGCCTTCATAATGATGATAGTTACTTTGGGTGCTCTCTTTCTATATACTTGCTTGCTTGGTGCCCACCTTAAAAATGTGAGGATGCAAGGAATATAGTGTGTTGCTTTCTCAGGGTTTTTCTGTTTTCAAAAATGTGCTACTGCTATCTGTTTTGTTTTTGTGTATTAGAGTCTTTTTTCCATGCAATCAAACTCAGACTTGCATTTTAAACATTTCAGACAGTTTAAACCAAAGAAGGAGCAATTTCAAATGTACACATCAAATTTTTGTATTATTGTGAAATGTATTTAATTTAGTTAGAAATCATTGTTGCATATTAATTACATTAAACTGAATATTTCTGTGTAAGATACAGCTTTTCTATTTATTTGCAGTGCTCTGGACTTGGAGCTTCCTTTTGTTATATGCTATCATATTTGGTTGGAAGACCAGTTGTATATAGATATTTAACAGAGAAAGCAGTAAAATGGTCAAAACAGGTAAGATCACTCTGGTGGAACATACATCCTGAATAATTAAATTAGTAACAGGATATCTCCTCATTTTTTCCTATTTCTGGTCATAAAAGCTAGTTTATTCCTATAACTGATTGTAGTACTAAAGAGTGTTAATGTGTCTCACGTGAGCTGAAATACTCATGGATTTTTGGCATGAGGCAGCCTTGCTAATTACCCAGCTTTTTAATACTGTTTCTGCCTACCATCTATCATTCAGCATCTGGTTGAATGAACAGTGTCATTACTTCATCTCAGCATCTAGTACTCTTTTTCTAATCAACAAGCAAGCAGATGGCATGACTTAAGAGCAGTTATAATATTTAGCGTTAAAGGTTTGTTGTTGTTAATTGCGAAGTCGTGTCCGACCCATCGCGACCCCATGGACAACGTTCCTCCAGGTCTTCCTGTCTTCTACCATCTTCTGGAGTCCATTTAAGTTCAAGCGTTAAAGGTTAACTATGTTCAAAACAGAAGAATATTTCTTTCAATGAATGACAGCTTTTAACAGATCAGGACTTGTTGGAAAAACAAGACATTTCATTGGCGAATTAGGAATTCTGTGAAATGTGAAAGCTTGCATCCTACTGCCAAAGTATGTATGGCATTAATCTTTTTGTGTTTTACTTTCTAGAATTTTATGTTGCTGAGGTCATTGATATCTCCCTTTTATGTGGCTGGTATTGATTTAATTACACAAAGGCTAACACTCCTGAGCTCCAGTAATGGGATTTATTACTTGGTTAAGATGAAACTGTTGAATTTCAAAGCAAGATTATTTTAATTAGGTATTCTTATGTCCCACAGGTTGAAAGACACAGGGAACATCTCATTAACTACATAATATTTTTGAGAATCACTCCTTTCCTTCCTAATTGGTTCATCAATATAACTTCTCCTGTAATAAATGTGCCATTAAAAGTATTTTTTATTGGTACTTTTCTTGGTAAGAATTCTGTTTAATATTTAAGATTTTAAAATATACATGTTTCTTTGTATGCATGATTTATTAGTGCATAGTGCCATCTGTTGGGCCAATTATAGAAATTTTTGTTAATTTTCATATTTTGATCTTCTTTATGAGAATTGTTTATAGATACAAGCATATGTATAAACAAATGACCAGCAGCGCCAGTGTTAAAATTTTGCATTTTCCACGAAAATCTATTTTGAATCTGTGAAATAAGGTGGGTAGATAACATAATGGAGACCAGGCCTTTTTTATTGTTTTTTGTTTTGTGCCGAGGATGTGGAAATTGTAGCTCACTTAACCTAATTCATGTAACCAAACTGATACAAATTTTTCATCCAGGATTTCTATTTATTACTTACATTCATTATTTTGTTACGTAATATATATTCCACCTATGAGAGTTACTGAGGGTCAGGTGGCATACAAGTTTGAAAAACAAAGTACCTGCTTTAACTTCTGTATATAAGGCAATCTTTTTTGGATACTGGTTTCATAACATCTTGTATTCCCTTGTTATAAAAAGGATATACACAGGAATTTAACATAGCTGCCTACATTTTCGGTTATGACTGCTTTGGCTTAGATAAAATAACAGTCATTTGCTAATATTAAAAGTGTGATTCTGTATTGAAGCTATTTATAATTTCTAACCAAACTTTTTTTACCTTTTGTTTCCAGGTGTTGCACCACCATCTTTTGTAGCAATTAAAGCTGGAACTACACTTTATCAGCTTACTACAGCAGGTGAAGCTGTTTCCTGGAACTCAGTCTTTATCCTTATGATTCTAGCAGTTCTGTCCATTCTACCAGCAATTTTCCAGAATAAACTTAAACAAAAATTTGCATAAGGATCAGCCTGGATCTTCATTTTCCATTTCATCTCAGGATCCGCTCTACTTCTGTGATTCCTTTTCTAATGGATGTTAAATAACTTAGTAAGAGGAAGTTGAAGAGACACAGAAGTTTTTAGAACTTTTGTTCAGTTATATTTATGGGGGGGGGGGACAAAATCTACAGCTGGAAGAAAATTTTAAGGTGAACCATACCTTTTGAAGAATTCTGAGGCATTGTCAATTTTAATCTATAATATTGAATCTGAATTTATGCTTTGATTCCTTTTTGATCATTTAATATGAATTATTTGTTTCTCCCATCTTTTCCTCATCACTGAATCCTAAGAAATTACAAATTGCACAATGAATTCTATAATCCCAATGGAGTAAAGAGACTGCATCATTTCTTTATGCATAAAGTCTTCGTTGAATACACCATTAGGTGGCTTGACCAGTGTTTTTCAGAAATTTCTGGGTCCTTGTTTTTTGCTCATTTTGTAAAAGATTGAATGATTTAATTGTAGGATATTATTTTTTTGTTTTCTTGAAATGGAGCTAATTTATCATGGTACATAAAAATACTACTTTTAATATTCCTATCTTGTTTGTGAGCATTTCAGTTATTTGGCTAAAATTTAATGAAATTTTATTACTTATCTATCAAAAAGCAACAGTCATCAGAATACATTTTATAGTGGTAGTTTTGTAGGAAAATATGTAGGAATGACCTTTTATTTTGCAATCGTTTTCTTTTGGATGGCAGGATTTGTTAAAGTTTCCAGGTGTTGCACCATTTTTAAAACTTATAAATACAATCTGGCTAAGTAAAAAATCAATGAATTGCTTGAATCTAAAACACCAAAGATGTTCCAAGTTCCCCTTAAAGCCCAGATTCCTTCGGTCATATTTTACACAGCAGTTGAAATGAATGAGAAGTGCCTAAGTATGAACAAATTTCAGCCTGCAATAGAAGAAGTATTATTCATTCACTGGGCAAAGATTAACCTGCAGAAATTGTATATTTTGTAAATAGGCCTTGCTAATATGATGTATCCTTTTTCAAATGGAAAAGTATCATATTAAAAATGGAATGAAGATTGACATTTGAATTTTAAGTATTCTTCAGGCATTTTACTTTCAAAAGTAATGATACATTTTGCTTAATTATTATTGGCATTGAATATTTTTCCTCCATTTATGAGATCTAATATACCGTTCTACTTCAGAATATCGCTCAACCATGCCTCTATATCTAATACTGATTGTTCCATGCGCTTGTTTTTATTACAAGTAATCCTTGTTTAATGACACTAATTGAAACTGGAAATTCTGTTAAGTGATGTCATGCCTTGAAAAACTATGTGACCATGACACATAGCAGTTCCAGCAGTTTCAATTGCCATTGTTTAGTGAGGACCATGTATGACCATGACTTCCTACTGGCTTCTCCTTTGATTTTGATTCTGGGAAGCTGACAGGGCAGGTCACAAATTGTGATCAAGTGGCCACAGCACTGGCAGGTCCAGTTACAGCTATCATTCATTCAGTGCTATGCTATTGTACATTTGAATGGTTGCTGAATGAGCAGTCATTAAATGAGGACCACCTGTAAATATATGCAGTCAAATGAAGAAAGTTTTACAGATCATACAAGCAAAACCAACTTTTCTTTGTCCGTCTCTGAAACAAAGCCAGTATGTAAAGCAAGTATACAAGAAACTATATTTTAATACCCAGATTTCTATACCACCCGCTTTCTAACACTGCAGGCGGTTTACAACTGTGTAAGATGATCACAGCGTCAACCAATAAAGCCATACAACCACCGAACACAAAATGGCATCTAATTACTACAAATAATATAATTGGCCTGTGTAGGAGCTATTCCGTTCCTATATACCTATGTCTACTTTTTCTGTCTGAATGACATTCCATTAGTACTTGTTTCCCAACTCATCTAAAATTTATAGTGTCTTTCAGTTTTGAATCAAAGGCATTCTGTTACTTTGTTGAAGGTGCAGCTGTAATACTCTATGCTTTAATTTCAGGTTGTAGAATGTTATGGTGGTTTACAGGTAGTCCTTGATCTTCGACCACAATTGAGCCCAAAATTTCCATTGCTAAGCAAGACAATTAAGTGAATTTTGCCTCTTTTTGTGACCTTTCATACCACAATTATTAAGTGAATCACTGCAGTTATTAAGAATAGAGATGGAAGGGGCCATGGAGGTCTTCTAGTCCAGCCCCCTGCTTAAGCAGGAAAACCTATATCATTTCAGACAAGTGACTGTCTAATCTCTTCTTTAAAATCTCCAGTGATGGAGCGCCCACAATTTCTGAAGGCAAGCTGTTCCACTGGTTAATTATCTTAACTGTCAGGAAGTTTCTTCTTAATTCCAGGTTGCTTCTCTCTTTGATTAGTTTCCAACCATTATTTCTTGTCCTGCCCTCTGGTGCTTTAGAGAATAGTTTGACACTCTCTTTGTGGCAGCCCCTCAAATACTGGAATAGTGGTATGTCACTCCTGTTTCTTCTTTTCTTTAGACTAGCCAAACCCAAGTCCTGCAGCTGTTCTTCATGTCTTAGTCGTCAGGCCTTTGATCATCTTAGCTGCTCTTCTCTGAATTTTTTCCAAAGTCTCAGCAACTTTTTTGTAGTATGGTGACCAAAATTAAGTTACTAATAGGGTTGTTAAATGAATCTGGCTACCCCACTGACTTGTCAGAAAGTCACAAAAGGTGATCACATGACCCCAGAACATTGCAACTGTCATAAATACATGCCAAGCATTCAAATTTTGATTGCATGACCCTGGGGATACTGCAACCATTATAAGTGTGAAAAATTGTCATATGTCACTTTTTCCCATGCCGTTGTAACTTCGGTCACTGAATAGTTGTAAATCAAGACTAGCATAATAGGTGGAAGAATGTGAACAATTTAAGAATAAAATATCCTGAAACCTTCAAGATGACTGACCAGCAATCTGATATAGAAAAGGCCAAAATAATACTCTTCAATTATGGTAGTAAAGTATTTGTTTTAATTTAATAATCCAGAGAGAGTGAGTTGGAATTAATTTTCACTGAAGAGATGGAACATGGAATTTATTCAGACCTAATCCAGATTGTAGTGATAATCTTGGTTTTTAAAAAATATACCTAAGTAAGTGCTTTATTAGACTGAAATTACTTGAGACTACCTGAAGTAGCAATTGTTTAATCCTCAGTGAATTTTTATTAATATATATGTATGCAAAATACAGGATTCTGCAATCTCCACACCCTGGCCATCTTGAAAACAGCCTTATTTTCAGTGAAGTCCTTGAAATGTAAGAATCTGGGAAGAGCATTCTACCACTTTTTATAATATGTACTGAATTCTTTTATTGCAGGATTATGTGTAAATTTATAAGAATATATTAATATGTTTAACTGTTTCTCAAGTATAAAGTTTCCTTTCTATTCACTGCTACAACTTTTTTCAGAGTACATGCAGTATTACGGCAATTAGGAAGAATTTTGTACTGCTTAGATTTTTTAAGAGATTGATTCAGGTACGTCTAAAAATGTATCTGTAATTAATGCCATGAATTTGATATGAATTATTTTAGTCTAGTTAAATGTTTACAGTTGTATTTACAGGGAAATAAGTGTAATGTTCTTGATGAATTCTACCAATACAGAGGCAATAATATTCTCTGTCTTTGTTGTTCGGGATATTGTATAACTTGAATTGGTTTGTTTAGATTTTAATAACTCTTTGCAGTTCATAATACACAACATATAGGGTTGTACTTTTTAAATATTTTTTTTAAAATAAACTATAAAATAGTTAAGCTATTGACCCAATAACCACAGCAAGCTTTCTTTTTTGCAGCCTTTCTTAGCCATCTCTTTGTGGCTGTCAAGATTGACAATAAGGATTGAATTTCCATTATTCAGTTAAGTCTTCCTATCAGGCATTACAAAAGATCAGCAAAAGTGCCTAGTTTGGAACACAAAAGCTACAAGGATTAAAACAAAATTGTGCTATTTTACTGCTGTAAAGATTTTGAGCAGCTAACATTCTCTTGAATGTAAAAAGATGACAGCAGCACATTTTCTGCATATAACAGAGCAGCACAAAAAGGAATATTCATTGTATCCACTGAAATCATCTGAAGAGGCTCTTCTGCATGTTTTTGTTCTGCATGTCTTATTTTTATCTGATTTCTTCTGTTGGTTTTATCTTTGTCTGGTTTATTTTTTTGGTATAAAATTAGGGCTCCATATGTTGAGAGGCAGCAATAGATCAATCCTTTGATAGCATCCTAAAATAAGAATGGCCAAACATCCCAATCTTGTAAGTCCTTTATACTTCTGCAAGTGAGAACTTAATTTTTCTTACCAAATATATGTAACCTAGTGTAACTTGAAAATCCCTTAACAAACAAAAAATGCAAATAGTCTTTGTTTCACCATAGTAATTGGGACCAGAATTTCCATTGCTAAGCAATGAGGCCATTAAGCACAATATCATGTGTTCACCTGTTAATCACTGGCAGTCTCCATTGCTGTCATAAAGGGAGGGTCCTGGGTTGTTGTGCAAGGACCTGATGTGACCATGACTTGATTTCCTGCTGGCTTCCAATAAGCAAAGTCAATGGGGAAGCTGGCAGGAAGTTGCAAGTCCTGGTTATAACAAGTAGGGTAGTGTTAACAGTGTGAGTGCAACCAAGCAAGTGGGAAGATGATGTGAGTGTGGCTGGGTGCATGGGTGAGTGTTGCAGTTGGTACAAGGGTGGGTGAATGGTAGTAATGCGTGCTGTGCTGTGAGTATGAGTGAACAAACAAGGGACTGAGTGCAGATGGGCTACATGGGCAATGCTACAGCCTAGCATGAGGCTGAGTGGGCAGCTGCCTACCCATGAGAGCTTGCATTCACCCTGCCACCCAAGGGCTCTTTGGGAGAGAAAGCAGCAAGATACTGAAGTGACGTGATCTGCCAGCTTCCCCATTGACTTGGCTTGTGGAAAGCTGTCAGGGAAAGTCATAAATGGCCATCTCATTACTGTGGTTGCTATCCTAAGTACAAGCCAGTTGCCAAGTGCTCCAATTGCAATCACATGACAGTGGGGACCCTGACAACTGCAACTTTAGTTGCCAGTTGTAAGTCCCCCTTGTTCAGTGCCACTGTAACTTTGAAAGGTTTCTGAAAGAGTAGGTAACCCTTGGTTACCTGTAAATCGTGTCGAGTAAATGCAGCAGATTATTTCAGTGTTTAAAACAATATAAAACAAGAAACAGCAGTGAAAAACATCGGTATGCCAGATCTAAAAAGAAAAAACATAATTAACTTTGAAACATTGAAATAAAACCTTTTTCCTTTTAAAAAACTGCTAAGGGTCATGCGAACCCATAACGCAAGAACATTCTGTAATGGTGCCAATTTATAGTTAACTTCTCTGATGAATTTCGTCATTTAGAGACATAAGAATATGAGAAAGTACATGTGTCGATTTACAGAAAATATATAATGAATAAATTTGAATTATGGAATGTTATATACAACTTTGGAATTGAAGTTTTATTGATGAATGCGATAAGAGAAATGTGCCTATTTTTGTTGTATAGCAGTGATATTTTTGTATGTTTGAAAAATATGTGTGGTAAAGCACAAAAAGGGTCAAGAATGAATAGATGGTAAATGAATGTGAATTGAATACAGAACACAGAAATGAATGAACAGTATGAAAGAGTGAATGAAGATTAAATTGCAAAACAAATATATAAGGGGTCCTTAGACTGCTAGCACTGATGTTATCTAGTTTGGGAAATGAAACGTCTGCAAGAAAACAACCAAGCTCACAGAGCATCAAGGACCCCTTATTTCAATCCCACTACAAATATTCTCCTTTATTGGTACAAATACATAATATTTGCAAATATATAAGGAGGATGAATTAAGTGAAAGGGGAAATTAAAAGGTCTTGAACCCAGATCAGATAAATTCAGACTCACCTGTCTAATTTTGCATAGTTACTTGTCAAGTGTTCATGTAGAATATATTTTATTAACTAATCTGAAAAATATTTAGGAATATTTGGATAGCCTTCAAAA